CTAAGGAAATGTGGAGATCAACAATGGAGGAAGAATTGAAGAGCATTGAGAAGAATGATACCTGGGAAATGGTGAGTTTACCTCAGAATAAAAAGGCTATTGCTGTTAAATGGGTTTTCAAAACTAAATTCAAATCTGATGGGTCAATTGCCAAACACAAGGCTAGGTTAGTGGCAAAAGGCTTCATGTAGAAGGAAGGGATAGATTACTCAGAGGTGTTTGCTCCTGTAGCTAGATTGGAGACTGTGAGGCTGATTGTTGCTTTGGCTAGTTGAAGGAACTGGAAGCTGTGGCAGCTGGATGTTAAGTCAGCATTTTTAAATGGGCCACTTGATGAAGAAGTTTTTGTGGCACAACCTCCTGGTTTCATATGTAAAGGTAAAGAACTGAAGGTTCTGAGATTGAAGAAGTCCTTGTACGGCTTAAAGCAAGCACCAAAGGCGTGGAACAAAAGGATTAACTCCTTTCTCACTGGTTTTGGATTCCAGAAATGCTCAGTTGAGCATGGTGTGTATATCAAAACAGTAAGTGAAATTGAGATCTTGGTACTGTGTTTGTATGTTGATGATTTACTCATCACCGGTAGCAGTTTGACCGCTATTGAATCACTCAAGCAAGGTTTGAAGAGTGAATTTGAGATGACTGATCTAGGAATCTTGTCCTATTTTTTGGGAATAGAATTTGCCTACACCGAGAAAGGCATCTTTATGCATCAAAGGAAGTATATGTCCGAAGTTCTGAAGAGATTTAAGATGTTGGGGTGCAAACCAGCAGAGACTCCAGCTGAATTGAATGTGAAGCTTGAGAAGAGCGAAGATGAAGGCTCTGTTGATGGAACTATGTTCAGGCAAATTGTTGGTAGCTTGAGGTTTATTTGTCACAGCAGACCAGAAATAGCTTTTAGTGTTGGGTTGGTCAGAAAATTTATGAGTGATCCTAGACAATCACATTTGGTTGCAGCTAAAAGAATCATGAGGTATCTAAGAGGAACACTCAGTTATGGCATTTTGTTTCCTCATCACACTAAAGGAGATGATAGTTTACACCTTGTAGCCTATTCTGATTCTGATTGGTGTGGTGATCTGGTTGACACAAGTTTTCTTGCTGTCAGGATCACCTATATCCTGGAGTTCTAAGAAGCAGACAGTAGTAGCATTGTCTACCTGTGAAGCCGAATACATTGCAGCCTGTGCAGCTGCCTGTCAAGCCTTGTGGATATCCTCTCTACTTAATTAAAGAATTAACAGTGTTTACTGGTGAACCAGTGGATTTGTTGGTGCATAGCAGATCAGCAATTGATTTGGCTAAGAACCTTGTGTCACACGGTAGAAGCAAGCATACAGACACGAAATTCCATTTCCTCAGAGATCAAGTAAGCAAGGGGAGGATCAGACTTCAGCATTGCAGATTTGAGAAACAGCTAGCTGACATTATGACTAAATCCATGAAGAGTGAAAGGTTTAGAGAGTTGAGAGAGTTTTTGAATGTTGTTAGTTTGTAATTGGTTTGAATCAAGGGGAGGTGTTAGAAGTGATTAAAACATTATAAATACCACCTTTGTGCTGAAATGTAATACACAGAATAAGAAAGTATATTTTTCTCTCCCTTGCCTCTGTGAGTTGTGTGTTTCGTGTTTTGTTCCGCCTCTTTATTCCAACAATATATAGCATAAATTACCTATTGGGCCCATGCAAAAGTAAATGCATTAATAATGGGAAATTGGTAAAAAGTTGTTGCTGATAAGGAAATTAAAACAAGATAAAATGCATTTTCACATCTTGTCTTACTACAAGAAAATGACGATTTTGCGACGGTTATATGGCCTACATTGCGACGGTTAGAATTGCCGCAAAGACAACATTGCGACGGTTTGGGAACTGTCACAGAATTGTCCGTCACCAGGCAATTTTGCGACGGTTATCAGAACCGTTGCACAAACCGTCGCAAACTTGGAATTATGACCCTTTCATCAACTGTCGCACCAACTGCCTCTATATTAACATTGCGACCCTTTCATCAACTGTCGCACCAACTGCCTCTAAATTAATATTACGACTCTTTTTTTACCGTTTGAAGAGTGAATTTGAGATGACTGATCTAGGCATCCTGTCCTATTTTCTGGGAATTGAATTTGCCTACACCGAGAAAGGCATCTTTATGCATCAAAGGAAGTATATGTCCGAAGTTCTGAAGAGGTTTAAGATGCTGGGGTGCAAACCAGCAGAAACTCCAGCTGAATTGAATGTGAAGCTTGATAAGAGCGAAGATGAAGGCTCTGTTGATGGAACTATGTTCAGGCAAATTGTTGGTAGCTTGAGATTTATTTGTCACAGCAGACCAGAAATAGCTTTTAGTGTTGGTTTGGTCAGCAGATTTATGAGTGATCCTAGACAATCACATTTGGTTGCAGCTAAAAGAATCATGAGGTATCTAAGAGGAACGCTCAGTTATGGCATTTTGTTTCCTCATCACACTAAAGGAGATGATAGCTTACACCTTGTAGCCTATTCTGATTCTGATTGGTGTGGTGATCTGGTTGACAGAAGGAGCACCATGGGACAAGTTTTCTTGCTGTCAGGATCACCCATATCCTGGAATTCTAAGAAGCAGACAGTAGTAGCACTCTCTACCTGTGAAGCCGAATACATTGCAGCCTGTGCAGCTGCATGTCAAGCCTTGTGGATATCCTCTCTACTTAAAGAATTAAAGATGTTTACTGGTGAAGCAGTGGATTTGCTGGTGGATAGCAAATCAGCAATTGATTTGGCTAAGAATCCTGTGTCACACGGTAGAAGCAAGCATATAGACACGAAATTCCATTTCCTCAGAGATCAAGTAAGCAAGGGGAGGATCAGACTTCAGCATTGCAGATCTGAGAAACAGCTAGCAGACATTATGACTAAATCCATGAAGAGTGAAAGATTTAAAGAGTTGAGAGAGTTTTTGAATGTTGTTAGTTTGTAATTGGTTTGAATCAAGGGGAGGTGTTAGAAGTGATTAAAACATTATAAATACCACCCCTTGTACTGAAATATAATATACAGAATAAGAATTCCTTTTTCTCCCACTTTACGTTTTCCTCTGATACTCTCTCTTTCACGTGTGGGTGTGGCTTTGCTCTAACAAGGTTGCTGAGAAGAGAAGGCTGAATTTTATTCCTTGTTATTCTTTGACTAAAAAGACTATAGCAGAATTTTCGTTTCATATACTGGAGCCCCACAGAAAAACTTTTTTTATACAACACTATCCACAATGTGCTAGCACTAAAGTTTTGGATTTTATTTTTTAAGAGGTCAATGGTATAAAATAGGGTTAATGGGGGAAACTCAGCGAGAATATAAATAAAGAAAAAATAACAAACCATTTAGATAATTAAATGCTAATATCATTCGATTCTGTAGGGTGGACGGAAAAAATAAAAAAGAAAAAATATAGATAATGCTTTCTTTTTTCTTAATCACACTGATAAAATTACGGTATCTAATGATGCACATCACATAAATCAGTGGAATGCACTTAAAAGCTTTTTATTGAGATGAACAAACCATTTACATAAATGAAATTAGTAGATAAGTAGATTGGACGTATAATGTTTACTATCAAATTGACATTTAAAAGGGAAAAGATGACTTTTCTTTGCTTCCTGGTTGCGAGTTAAAACTTATCTCAACGACCTCTAAAATTTTTAAATCAAGAATTGGCAAGTTTCTGTTTCTTTCGCTTGACGCAGTAAAACTAAAAATAGAAAATATGACTTTGACGTTGTTAAAATACAGGGAGAATGACGTATAACGTCGGCGTGTTTATAAAACAAAATGTGTGAAGAGAGTGTATTGAATTGAAATTTAAAAGATTATTTTGACATAATAAAATCTTGTGGATTTTAATTACCGAATTGATAGTGTAATAATTTATTTACAATCAGTCTTTTTCTCATCTAGATTTACTATCACAAAAACGATTCATCATGCTCGTTAGACACGAGAGTAAAAAAAATTATATGTGATAAAGTAATATATTGTAATAAGATGAGATAGAGAGAAATGAAAAATGTCAATTAAGTGTGTACAATATATAAATGTCTATGTGTCATTATACTCTTACAACTAAGTACCCATTAATTATTGACTAAATCCCATCAACCAAAATGTCCAACTTTATTAGCACTTTTACCTTTCTCATCATTCACCTGAAAACAAGTTATTGCGTCATAGAAAAAATAATTTGACCTCAAACTCTGGAACTAGTTTTTTTTTTTTTTTTTTTTAGCATACTTGGGGTGTAACTATACCCCTCACGCTAATAAGAAATTCGAACAATCATTATCTAACAACCTAAGCAAACATTCCTTCTTCCATATCCATTGATCAATGTCAAGATCAACTGATCTACCTGAAGGAGTTTACTCTTTTATAATAACGAAGCTCATGCATACAAAGTCAAAAAGATAGGAGCTACATTGTGAGCATGATGGAAATGGCATCATCAAAATGAAATATATTACCAACAAAGTCAATAGTGCTCACTGCTCTTATAGTCTAATTAGAAAGATGACTATGTGCCTGTTTGTTTTAAAGTTAGAAAATCAACGGTCGCATTTGCCAATAAAAAACATACGTTCCGATATAAATTTGTAGTTTAGATTAATGACATGAACGATTCAAAATTAATTCTACCGAACCTTGAACCAAAAGGACACTGAATAACAATCTCCTCTCTAGACCATAAACAACGGAGGTGTGCTTCCACAATGGGAAATGATTGTAGTTGTTCCATAAACTGTTATGAAGACTACAAATGTTTTAGTCATTCAGAAATAGTTGTGAGAAATGTGTTTAAATTGTTCACATGTATATTACTTTTCGTACTCTATTTTTTCAGTCATCCTTGAAAATTTGTGGAACAATCATTTCCACATTATATCATAGCACTTCGTTGGCTATTGCAGAATTTGTTTCTAGGCTTTATATTTTCTTAGATGCAACAGGATGCTAATATAGTAATATTTGCATGAACTGTGTTTTCTTTTCTTTACGATAGTAGATTACAACAATACTTTTCTTCAAGATTTGGTAACCACATGTTACAACTTACAAGGTTGATGTCATCTTTCCGACATCTACAGACAAGTACACAGGTAAACATAACCCACCGCTCGGGGGAAAAAAAAAAGGAGGGGAGAAATAATATACTTCTGAGAGTCAGAGAAGACTACTTTATTCTGAAAAAAAAAAAAAATTGAAACTTCCTATTTGCGGACAGAAATGAAGACATTCCATTAAAATGAACTAATGCCCTTGTATGTCTTCATGGCTGTTTTCCTCCAAAAGGGGTGTCTGTTTTCCCTTTGATTCCAAGCTTCTCACTCCGACATCTTCGATATCTTTGGCTTTTCCCCATAATACAGAATAAAACCCAACAACAATCACAATTGCACCAATTAGACTGCATTAAAATATAACAATGAGTTCATGTTGGATGAAATAAACTCAATAGTACAATCAAATACAAGCTACACAACCCACCTTCCAAGATAGAATGCATCCCCAAGGAAGAGAAAACCTAAAACCACTGATATGACAATTCCTAAGGGCTTGAACATGGAAATAAAAACAGGTCCTGTCTGGTGCAAGCACCAAGTAATAACACCAACTTGAAATGCAGAGCCAAAGACTCCCTGTAAATGTTTATAGATGAAGTTTCAGAGTTCTAGGTTAAGATAATGCAGTAGTTACTATTGGTACTTTAATTTATTTGATTTACGTTTTGATTACCGAGTATAAAACTGCAAGCAACCTTAACTTAGGTTCCAAGCTCCAGGCACTGATGTCTCTTTCCACAACCAAACAGGTAACACCAGATTGAATGCCCACAAAGAAACAATAAAAGAATACAACAATCAATTCTGCTGGATATTTCTTAAGAATATAAGCCTGAAAATATAACCAATTATAATTAACCAATATTATAGAGTATTTGGACCATGCAAGTAGAAATCACAGGATTTAGGGAGTTCTATCACTACTATAATAATTTCACCTGTACAATAATATATGCTGAAGCCATTATACAATCAGCTGCAAGCAATACTCCTGCGAGTATCCAATTAGAATCTTCTGAGAGAAGTGGCAGCTGAGATGAGTTTACAGATGATACTCCCATCAAAAGTGCAGGGCCTTTGTACAAAGTCACAATAAATGCACCAGCAATTGATACTATTGTTCCCAACAATTTAGCTTGGCTGCTAAATTTTCTCCAATCTAATTGTTCCATTCTGAAACCAGAAAGTGGGTTAAGTTTAGTTAGATCTATATCAGTGAACGACTGATAGAGAGAACAGTGCCATCTTTTTCCCTATAATGAAGTAATGTTTGCAATTGATGAGCCTTTTATATGAAATACATAAAACCAACTATACAAAAGCTTTAAAAATCCAGAAGGGTGACTTCTATTTTAAAAGAATTTCCAATTCATCATGTGATCTAGATATATATATTTATATAAGTACAAATCACAATGTTATCGTGTTGGCATCAGAAGTTCAAACTCCAAAATGGAATATTTTTCATTTTCAAGACAACACAATCTATAGCATCTAGGATACCCAAGAGTTAGATCATCTAGAAGGTTCCATAAGCCCAATCTTCCTCTTTATTCATCACTAGTAATAGGATGATGGCCACCACTCACCAGCCTGAGTGCTCGATAGGACAAGTTCAGGTCAGCTGGAACAATTCATCCGAAGGGAACAGAATTTCTCAAAATACAAACTAGAAATGAAATTCAGAGATTGCCAACAGTTAGTTTCATGTAAAAAAAAAAAAAAATCCTTTTTGATCAAACCTAACATCTACAGAATCAATAATTTGATCCAAACTCTATGGTTCCATGCAGTTCACCTACGCTCAACAATAACATGAAAATGAAATGTAATCTTCACATTGCATTTACATGTGCCAAGCAAGGCACTACATTGAACTTAACAAATAAGTTTGTTCAGATATAAGTTTAGAAAAGTTTTTTAGAGTTCTACTGAAAACAAAAAGCTATTTCTAATAGAGAAATTCTCAAAAGTTCTTTTAAACTTGTATCTAAACACGTCGAATGCCCCATAGATGAAATGCATCTTGCTAGTGCTAACTACTAAAAAGCTATTTGGATAGCTTCTCAATAAGAACAAAGACTCTCAAAATTTCTTCTAAACTTGTATACAATTACAAGGTAGAGTAAATTGTGAGCATACTTAACGAAGGAAGGGCATTGGCATTGGCAAGTGGGAAGAAAGGAGGAAATGAGATGAACCTAAAAAGAACAGCAAGTAGGAAAGTAAAACCAGGAACGAGGTTGAGCATGGATGTGCTGAGTGTAGCAGAGCCGTAGTAAATCCCAGCGTAGCCAAAAGCCTGCGCCAAATAACTGAAAACAGAAAACATTTCATTTTACGATGCATAATATGAAACGTAGATACGAAGGTAGAATTTTTGAACTTGCCCGAGTAGTGCGAGTAAGAAGAATCGAGAAAGGGTGGAAAAGGTGATTGGAGGACGTTGGAATCTGTGTACGAGGAAGGAAGTGGGAAGAAGAAGGAGGGAAGCGATTGAGTTGGAATAGAAGATGAAGATGAAATTGGTCATTCCTTGTGCCATGGCTTTCTTGCTCAATATGATTAACCCAACCTGAGCAATTTCCGCCATAATCATTCCAATAAACGGAAGAGTCAACTTCCCCATCTTCACACTAGCACGATTCAGCACTGTTCCAGTTTAAGGTGGAAAACTCGAAACCCAACTCAACCTTGAGATGAAAAGTATTCAACGGAAGAGTCAACTTTCATTCTCTGTTTCTTCCTCTTTTGTTTGGACTTGGAAGTTTTTTTTCTGCACCGTTGGATTGCAACTTGCAAGGTGGGTGCACAAGATCAGATTGTCATTTAACTCCTTATTTTTAATTATTTATAGAAGTAATCACTTATACACTGCCAGTGTGAAGATTTTTTACATTAGTAGTCAATCAGAGTCGGTAATAATACTTTTTTATCTACTTATTTAATTAAATTAAAATAAAAAAATACTATTAACGACTCTGATTGACTGTCAATATAAATTTTTTTATATTAATAATGTATAGATAATTAACTCTTATTTATATACCTTCTAGTTAGATTTCTTTTTATAAAAAAAATATACATATGTACAAATGAGAATCATTATAAAAAGTGAAATTTAGATTATTCAGGGAATCAGATAAATCTTAAATATAATCTCAGATGCAACAAGTTGTTTAGGAAACAATTTATAAGATGGATGATCATTTATGACTACCTGGCCCTTGTACAATGAAGGCCCAGTGATTGATAGAATATGCCAATGAACGTGGCCCAAGTGCTATTAGCTTTCCGATCCAGTTTTTCTACCTGTACGGACAATTGCCTTAAATATAATTTGAATGAAAAATTTTAGAATTTCTAAAAATTTGAATTATTTTTTAATTTTAATTTTTTTTTGTATTTTTTAAATATCTTGTTTGAAAAAATTAATTTAAATTTCTTAAATTTTAAATTTGAATATCAAAATTTAATTTTCATTATAAATTAAATTAAATTTTATAAAATTAAATGCTAGCTAATTTTAATAAATATTAATTTAATAAAATCATTTTAAAATTATTTTTAGATAATATTAATAATTTAAAAATAATTTTAAATATTTAATAAGAAAAAAATATTATTAATTTTTATGTCAACCTTGAAAAGGAGAAGAGGAAGATAGGAGGAAAAAAAATTAAAATTCTTATTTTTTTTTCATTTTACAAATTTTTTAATTATAATTTTTTTTATCCAAATAAAATATTTCACACTAAAATATTTAAAATTCTTTTAAAAAAAATTATTCCATTAAAATTCCTATACATACCTATTGAGAATCACTTACAGAATTTATTCCAAAAAATATAAACCATGCATGGCTGCTTTGAATAAAAATACATAATTCTTTTTGGTAAAATTATGTAATACCGCGAGCCAACAGAGAAATAGGGTAGCATTCATTTCCACACCTGAAGTGGGTTTCTTGATAGTGCCATCTACAAAAGAGAATTTGTTCTTCATCTATCTCCAGTGCCATGGCCATCAAGGACAGGAGAAACTAGATTGAGATATGGATTTTCATTGTACGTAGTGCCCTGAAGCATCAATAGTAGAAGCAGTTCGTAGAACAACCAATAAAAAATAAAAAGAAAAAGATAATGATATATAAGAGGAAGAACAAAGGTAAAAGAGTTTAAACTACTATCATATTAGAGAAATTTATATATAATATATACGTTCAAAATATATTATTAACGTAAAATACACAAAGGCAAAAAAAACTAAAATAATAAATATAATTTTAATAAAATACTTTATAAACATATGGAGAGTTTTTTACTCAAATAATACCATTTTTTTTAAAAATACCCAAATAGTAATTGTGCAAATTTATTTCCCAAACTAGCACCATTTACTGTTCACGTTCAAAACGGGTCGTTCTGAAACCAGAACGGACCATTCCAGATTAAAAAATAATACATGACGAATGGATCAGAACGGGTCGTTCCAGATTCAAAATTAGCACATAAATAGTGGAACCAGAACGGGTTGTTCTGAATCCGAAACGGGCCGTTCTGGCTTATAAATAAAAAAAATTGTTCAATTTTCACTTATTAAATATCAAAACTTAGAAACTAACATCAAATAATTAAATTTATTGAATATTAACATTATAAATATAACTAAATAAATTTATTAAAATTCAATACAACAATAAAGATCAATGGTGACTGAAACTGAATTCATGACCAATATTTGGATATGTCTTCCTAGTGTGACCAGGGGTGTGACCATGCGAGCAAGGGATATGAACTTTCTGGAACTTGCCGCAATCACACCACATTACATTTAGTCTTACTGTAAATCTCCCAGCGGGTCATGTGAGCAGGCACGGATGCACGTAGGAGAGAGTGGGGGCATGTGCCCCCACTACCATTTTCCAACACATATTTTTTTTATCCAAAAAATAATATATTTTTAAAAATAAAAATTATATTTTGATTAAAGAAACATATATATTTAAATTATCATATTATAAAATACAAGTTTGAAAGAGTTGTTTATTTATTTCATATTTATCAAAATTTTGAAGGAAATTACTTCTCATATATGATAAAAAATATTTTAATAACGAATTAATTTTTTTTAAAAGTTTAATTTTTGATAAAATAGAATTTGTAACATATATATTTACCTTTTGTGCTTTTTATTTATGTATACATTGATTAAAAAAATTAAAATAGTAAAGATTGTAAGATTTTATACGTTGATTAAAAAAATCAAAATGGAAAAGATTGGTATTTATATTCTATTTAAATTTTTTATTATAAAATATGTTTGAAATAAATTATCTAAAATATTATATTAGATATTAAAAATATGTTTATATTATAAATAAATTAAACTTAATTTTTATACAACTTAAAATATTTATTTTTATATTTTTATTAGTATTAAATTATTATAAAGTATATTTTTAGAATTGTAGTTCTAACCAAATATTTAAAAAAATGTCTATGATAGATAAATAAGTCATATTTAAGACATGTATTCTAAAAAAAGTTAGGTTCAAACCTACTAAATTATAATATAACATAGTCTGACTTAACTTATTTTCATCTTTAATCGTAAGCATAATTCTAAAAATTTGTAAAAAATAATTATGATATATATTTATACTTTTAAAAGTTATATGTAAAATTTTTAACATTATAAATATATAAATAATTATTGCCCCCACTATCTAAAATTTCTAGATCCGTCACTGCATGTGAGCAAGGGATATGAACTTTTTGGAACTTGCCGCAATCATACCACATTTCATTTAGCCTTACTGTAAATCTCCCGGCGGGTCATGCGAGTAAGGGATATGAACTTTCTGGAACTTACCGCAATCATACCACATTTCATTTAGCCTTATTGTAAATCTCCTAGCAGGTCAAACTTCTCTCGGATGTTGCGTTTCTTCCAACTTTGTGGCCAAATCCAGAACTCAAGAGAACTTTCAAGGGTCAGCCAAAGTCCAGCAAGATTAGAACCGAGATGGACATTAGAGAACAACATAATCATGTAAAAAATTGTTCCTATTGTCACACCCCTGGTCGCACTAGGAAGACATATAAAAATATTGGTCATGAATTCAGTTTCCGCCACCATTGATTTTTATTGTTGTAATGAATTTTAATAAATTTATTTAGTTATATTTATAATGTTAATATTCAATAAATTTAATCACTTGATGGTAGTCTCTGAGTTTTGGTATTTGATAAGTGAAAATCGAAAAAAAATTGTCTGAATCTATAGGTGAGAACGGCCCATTTTGAACGTGAACAGTAAATGGTGTTAGTTGGGAAAATAAATTTGTACAGTTGCTATTTGGGTAAAAAAAATATAAAATAGTATTATTTGAGTAAAAAATTCACATATGGACGAGTTCCTTATAAATTATTATTTATTGCATTTATATATTATATTATAAATTTATTATATTAAAAACTATGAGATCTTGACTTAAGAGGGAAAAAAATTTCAAGAAAACCAAACACTTCTTTTTCTTTTTCTCAAAACTCTTAAGGAAAGTCTCTAATACCTGAAGCTCGGATTTCATTTCTCCTCTTTCTCTTTTTGCACCTCGGAGCAACCCGAATATCTTCTTCTCCATTCTTCTCTTCTTCTTTTTCTTTGGAGATCTTGAAATCAAGGTAAGGGGAGTTGGAATTCTTGGATTTTGATGATTTGTTGGGTTGTTAATTTAGTTAAGAACTTAAAAATTGGTAGGATTGCTAACAATCTCAGCTGGGGGGAAAGGGATTCAAAGTGATTTGCATGTTGAAAATTAAGGTTTTGGTTTCTTGATAGAAGGTTGTATTTTGATGATTTTCTTTGAGCTTTGATGCATGCATGTTGAATTTCTTGTGGTTTATGGGTTGTATGAACAAATTTAGTAGAGATTATGAATGTAGATCATGTTTATGGCTAAAATTGATGGAATATATAGGTGAGGAACGAAGGTGAAAAGTCATAAAAGTGCAAAAAACTCTACACTCGGTGATGGAGCGCTGAAACTGTGAGAGAAAACAAGGTGGTATAGATTCAGCGCTGGGGCGCTGATTTGAGTGTTGCAACCTTAGGAGGAATTGATTTGGCAAAGACCCAACGCTGCAGCTCCGAGTGAGCGCTACAACCTTGGGAGAATACAAAGCTAGCAGAAATCCAAAGCTGGAGTGCTGAATTGAGCACTACAGCATTAGGGGTAGATGACTGAATTTGGTATTGTTGTTTTCATGAAATTTGTAGCCTTGGATATTAGTTTTCCAATGGCTCTGGAATCACCCAAAAAGGAGGTCTAGAACTCCAATTATAACCTCTTTAGTAAGTAAAGGTCAAGTTGTTAGCATTTAGGCAAACATTTGCAGTTTTTACAATTTTTAACATGGTAGATGAGGGAATTGGAACTTGTGTTCTGAGTGAAAGTTGTAAAAAATCTTCTTATATTTCATATGAAATAAGGATGAGCATGATAGGAGTAGTAGAACTCACTATGGGTTGCTTTATGTGAAGGTAGTCAATGTAGGATAAGTGATTTTGATAAGTTGCATGTTGATACATGTGTTTATGATGAGTGAATTTGGTAAAAATTAATAGAATGTTTGTGTCTATTTCATGTTGGGTGTTATAGGATAATGATAATAAGCATTGGTATGCTATCTTATGTATTTGAAATAATGATAAGCATTGAAATGTTATCTTTGTGT